GTGACAGCTATCCATGGTTTCACCGCAAGCTGATCAGTTTTTGACGCGTGTCATCAATGTCATTTAATGATATATATATTTTTTTATTTTGTTGTGAAAATATCTTTAAAATATAAATAATAAATTAATTTTCTCTCTCTTACGTGTCTCACTCTTCTGCTTCTTCTTCATCTTCTTCCTCTTCCTCTGCACCTCCACATCATCTGAACCTCCGAAACCCCAACAACTCCCCACCACCCACCCTTCGAAATCCTAAAATTAATTAGTAAATAAATAAAAAAATGTAGAACTTGCGTAAGTAAGTTTCCTTCAAATTTAGAAATATTCAGTACTTGGAAGTAATTTTTCTAGATATATGTGAAATAATACTTTATATTTTCATACGCCTCTCCACATATAAAAGGGTACTCAAGTATTTTGGTTTAATCCGTAAGGCATGCGTGACCGTTGTGTTGAAGACATGTGCCAATGCATGGTATCTTAACGCATTAAAGCTCACTTAAAAATCTATGATGCAAGTATATAATCTGCATTGCTAAAACAAGTAGTAATTAACCAGAACTTGACAAGAAAAGAAAGGAGGATAGTAAAACAGAATTATCCAAGGATTAAAGAAGCATCTCATTTGAATGTCGTTAGATGGGCTATGCTTCCCAAATTCAAAGATCGTACACTTAATAATGGGCTACGCTGCTCATCCTTAAAAAATACGCTAGCATTCAGTCTATTAAAATATTATTAATTTTTTTTTAAAAATAATAAAAAAAAACATTTAGTTTTAATTTCGGATATAATTTTTAACCAATATTATCACGCCATGTGTCATTATCCGAAAGTACTATTTTGTGGATAGATTTTCGATAAGATTTTCAACCAATCCCGACGCGTTATGTGTCACTATATGTTCACAATAATTTAACCAAGATTTCGATAAGATTTTCAACCAATCTTGTCACGCCACGTGTCATTATCCGAAAGTACTATTTTGTGGATAGATTTCCGATAAGATTTTCAACTAATCCCGACGAACCACATGTTACTATCTGTTTACAATAATTTAGCCCATATTTCGATAAGATTTTCAACCAATCATGTCGTGCCACGTGGCATTATCCAAAACCTCATCCTTTCTTTTTTTGTCCATATAAACCCTACATCCATCCTAATTCATACACCAAACTCAATCATTTACCTCATAATCATTCTTCATCGTTTTCAAATCTTAAGTTCTTACAATGTCTTCTTCAAGGAGATTGTATGAAATCGATGAGCAACAGAAAAAATTGTTGGCACAACAAGAAGAATTGTTCAATCTCGAGGAAGGTGGAGATGAGGCTTTCGCAATGGAAGAGGATGAGGGTGATGAACATAGAAGGCAGAGCGCCTCACATTCTCGTCGTGTTTATATAAGTTTATTTGGTGAGTTTATATAATTTTATTTGGTACTAGCAGATTAGCACACACTCTGTGTGTGAACGATTTCATTTTAGTTTTTGTTATTGATTAAAGAGTGTGATTAGTTTTTAAAATTTTAAAGAGAGTATGGAATAATGATGATGAGACAATTTCTCTTAATAAGTGTATATTTTTCTTGATAGTTACTGTTTCGTCCTCCTTATGTACATATTGTGTATCAAACATGAGGGTAAAATAGGAAAAATAGGTATATGATTGTCATTTTCCCAAAAAAATGAGGGTAAAATAGGGATATGATTGTTATTTTGTCAAAATGTACAAAATTAAAGCCTCTTCAACCGCTCACCTCCTCCCATGTTCTCCTCAAGCGCACCTGCTTCAGTTCATTCAAACTATCCAAAAAACATTATGATTTCACTTACCTGTATGAAAGAATGATGATGGGACAATTTCTCTTAATAAGTGCATATTTTTTTATCTTATGTAAATATTGTGTATCAAAAGTTAGGGTAAAATAGGAAAAATAGGGATATGATTGTCATTTTCTCAAAAGATACAAAATTACTATTTTGCTCTTCTTATGTAAATATAAAGTGAAGGAAAAATAAGAAAAAAGGGCAAAAAGTTCAAAATATACAAAATTACTATTTTACCCTCCTTATGTAAATTTTGTGTATCAAAAGTGAGGGCAAAATAGGAAAAAAAATGGAAAAAAGTTGACAAGGAGGGTTCTCTTAATAATAGTATAGAAAATGAGGGTAAAATAGGAAAATAGGGATATGATTGTTATTTTGTCAAAAGGTACAAAATTAAAGTCTCTTTAACCTCTCAACTCCTCCCACGTTCTCTTTAAGCGCAACCCCTTCAGTTCATTCAAACTATCCAAAAAACATTATAATTTCACTTACCTGTATGAAAAAATGGTGGTGGGACAAATTCTCTTAATAAGTGCATATGTTTTATCTCATGTAAATATTGTGTATCAAAATTGAGGGTAAAATAGGAAAAATAGGGATATGATTGTCATTTTCTCAAAAGATACAAAATTACTATTTTGCCCTTCTTATGTAAATATTGTGTATCAAAAGTGAGGGCAAAATAGGAAAAAAGGGGAAAAAGTTCAAAAGATACAAAATTACTATTTTTCCCTCCTTATGTAAACTTTGTGTATCAAAAGTAGAGGCAAAATAGGAAAAAAAAGTGGTAAAAAGTTAACAAGGAGGGTTCTCTTAATAATAGTAACTTTGTGTCATCATGTATGACTCAAAAGGTGATCTGATCTCCCTGAAAACATCATTGGTAATATTCTAGTTGTGCCAATTGGGAGGGTAGCGTAAAGAAGTAATATATGACTCAAAGTTTGTATCGCAATTCACTTCCAATGTTTCTTTTTCCAACTTCTTCGAGGTCCAAAGAGCCTCCTAAGTGTAGTACGCTCTAGCGTTCTCATCAAGAGCATGAGCTATCACTTTGCCTAAATAAATAAAGAAACACAGTATTAAAATCCAAAGAGAAAGGAACTAACAATATCAATGAGGCATGTAATGGCAAATGTTATACAGAAGTACAAGATTCATACATTCCACTAGGAAACACAAAAATGGCCTTGGTCATTCAATAATTTAGTCAAAATATACACTACGGAAAGTTTGAGCCCTCGTATGGCTACTAGAAATTTCCATAACAACAAAACAATTTTCAGTTTTCCACGAATATTGTGGTGCAAGTGTTTATGCAAAAAATGAAACATACCATAACTAGATTAATTTCGTAATCAAAACTAGTTTTCGACAATCAAAAACGACGATCCTACAACGAGCACAACATAACAGTGTCAATGATAATCCACTTTACTCCCTCATGCCCTTCCACACTGGGAAGGGCTAGCCGTTCAGCTCCTTGCTGCTTTTGCTTAGACTACTCATATAAACACACACGTGATCGAGTTCATCATCGAAAACCAAGACAATAAAGCCGTGTCAATCATCAAGCAATAAAGCCTTCTTAATCATCAAGCAGCAATGTAAATAATAAAAAGAATTGTATATTACCCTTTTCCCTGTCAACTAGGAAAATCTAGACTCAAATTTTCTAGGCAACCAAACAGATGACAATATTTCACTCCTTTTTTCCAGTCAATCGACATTAATACTCAGCGGTTTCATTATTCCGTTTCCCTCCTATTCTTGGCAACCAAACACAAATACGGAATTGAAATTAAAAAGAAAATCGGACACGCCTTGTAAATTAGGGCTTCAACGATGTTCTTGACGTGCCATGTGGACCTTCCGATAACGAGGACCCTGAAATTCAAAAACTAATAAGCACGTGGCACGTTACCCTTAATGTCAGACAGCCAAACTAATAAGCACGTGGCCTACCATTACTAACCCAAAATCTAAAAACATTTCAATATATAATCAAGTTTCCTACAAATAATCATCCCACTTATGCCAAACCAGATGCACCATCTGTTTCTCGAGGAGAAGGTTTGTTAATTGTCACGGATGCTGTGTCTCGATTGTTTTTGCCCAGCATGTTTGAAAACCACGTTCCACATACAATGGGAGGGTAGAGTAAAAAGAACAAGGGCAATAATCGTTCCACGCGTTTTGTTCTCCTCCTGACACTATTTGGTATTGTCTCCGTGATTGCTGAAACTATCACGTCACTTGTTGTATGCGTCCAGTTTTTAATATTTTTTTTTTTAGAAAATTATAACGGTAGTCTCTCATTTTTTTTTTTTTTTAATGGATTTTGATGGGCAGGTAAGGGCCGCCATTGAAACGGCGAATTTGCAGAGTGTGATAGGGAGAGAGTTACGAGAGTGTTACTGGTGTTTTAAAAATTTTAAGACTAACAAAGTTTGTCAAACAACATTAGTGGTCATGACCGAATTCTATTTTTCACACACAAAATTATCATAAATAAATAAATACAATAGGATAAAGGATTATTAAAAACAAAAAAAAAATCACGTTTTCTAGTGGAAAGCGAAGTCTCATTGAACGAAATAATAATTACAACTCAGTTTATATAATTATCATTAGCTGTTAATGATATATAAACCGACTAAACTAAACAAGGATTAGACGAATAACAAATTTCTAACTATAGTTCTAACTGTACTTCTAACAAACTTCTAACTACACTTCTTGTACTCAGTGACCTACTTCTCTTTAATTTCATGTCACTAAACATGCATGTTTTTTCTATTAATCATGGTTCGTGTAACACTTTAAAGTTTTCGTGCGTGTTTATGTCCTACCTAATTTTTGTTCAGGTCTTAGTTTTCCTTGTGGAGTGCATTTAACATAAGAAGTCTTTAGTAAAAGAGCACCAGTAAATATGAGTCTTGGAGGATGGAGGTGGAGTGTCATTTAATATAATTAGGACTCTACGAATCATATTCCCATGGGACACAATCTCTACTAATTCCTATTTCTTCATTGACCACGAGTTTGATGGTCAACCCCAAACATTGACGGAGATGTTAGAATATGAGTAGGAATGTGTGTTATAGCCGACTATTTGGATTCAAATTGGTGCGTATAGAATTCTAATATATAGAGGTTTTGAATTATATGTAGGACTGAAACTCTTAGTCTATGTAATCATTATTGTCCTATGTATATAGCAGGTCTCTGCTTTCACAAAACACACGCTCTACATATTGAATCAAGCAACGAGAAGGTTTGCTATCGAAGTTGAGTCATGGGTTCTTTGACTTCGAGTTCTGCAGGTTAGTTAGTTCTTCTTCTCGTGTATATTTGTGATTTGTTAACTTACTCTTGATTGCTGGGGTGTTTATATATGGTTACTCTTAAAGGAGATGGTAGATATACGTCTTTTTGTCTCAATGCAGTTTGTTGAACTTGTGTTGACACTACTATACCTTCTTGCATGTGTGGCCATTGTTTTATAGTTGCAGGAGATCCGTGTTTTATAGTTGGAAGAGCCCCGGTACCATTTTCGGATTCACCGCCGACTCATTACACTCTAAAAATAGAGTCATTTTCCTTGCTAAAAAATTGGCCGGATGGATTCGAGTCGGAGGAGTTCAAGGCTGGAGGATACGAGTGGTAGATATTTTCTCTTTTTTTTTTTTTTTTTTTTTTTCACGATCTGGATAGTGGATTGGGAAACTGGCTAAAATGATCCGTTTTAAAATACCGATTGTTGAAATTTTTTGTGGGTGTCGTTAACAACTGATCCCTATGTCATCGATATTTAATTATGATGTGTTCGTATTTGAGAGTTTATCTCTGATGATTTCAGACAATTTCCCTATAATGCATACCTTGTGATTTGAAGGAATATATATTTTTTTAAATTTACAGCATATGAATACATTGTTATGTGTGCTCTCACAGGAAACTTGTGCTTTACCCGAATGGAAACAAGGAGAAGAACGTGAAAGATCACATCTCAGTCTGCTTAAAAATGGCCGGAGCAGATTTACTTCAACCTGGTTGGGAAGTATTTGTTGACTTTAGATTGTTTTTGCTTGATCAGAACAAGGGAATCTACTTGGTCCTTAAGGGTATATATGTATATATACATCCATTTGAATTTAATCACTTCTCATGCATCCATATCAGATATACCAGTTAATTTTGTGTTGCAATATAATACTCATATTTTTCTTTTTGGTCTGGCGTTGTATTGTTCATTATAGACGAAAATATAAACAAGATGTGCTTTCACGCGGCGATGCTTGATGCCAGTTTTGATAGAGTTATCCCCCTGGAAGCATTTACCGATCCTTCCAATGGCTATCTTGTTGGCGACACTTGTGTGTTTGGAGCGGAGGTCTTTGTTTGTAAGGAAAGGAGAAGAGGCAAAGAAGAGTGTATCACACTCAACGCTCGTTTGACGTTCAAGCATCCTTGGAGGATTGAGAAATTTTCCAAGTTAAAATATGAATGGATTGAGTCGAAACCATTCAATGCTGTTGGCATGAAATGGCACGTATATATCTCCGACAATCAAGCTTTAGTATTAAGTTTTCAATTGTAAAACCGGTTAATTAACGTTTACTCTTCCTTTAATTTGTTTGTTATTTCAGGAAGTTAGTGCTCTATCCCAAGGGACGTTTCGGTGGAAAGGGCAATTATGTTGCTCTTTACCTAGCATTGGTTGATCCAAAATCACTATCACCTGGCTCCAAAATACTTACAGAGGTAACGTGTCGCATTATAAATCACGAAGGGCATGGAGACCATTTTGTTCGCAAAGGTAAAGATTTGGCCTAAGGAGATATACAATTACTCAATATCCGTTTTGGCTGCAGCAGAAATCTGAATCTTCAGAACCCTTTTTTTGTGCTGCTTGCAGGCAAGCACCTGTTCAGTACCTCGGGTTCATTTTGAGGTTGGACTTATTTCATGCCGCTGGAATATTTAAGCCGGGCAGACAGATGTTATTTGTTGAAGAATACTTGCTCAATGGAGGCAGAGGTCATTGTCCATGGAATTGGTAAACAACTATGTTAGAAATGGCACATTATTTCTTAATTTCTTTTGAGTTCTTTGCTGTTCTCTCCTGGTTGAATTGTTTTTGAGTTCTTAGCTGTTCTTCAAGCTATTTTTGAATTGGCACATTTTTTTTCTTAATTTCTTTTGTCTTTGGGAATTAATGGTTCGAAAATAACAAATGCAATAAATCTTGAGAAAATAATGTCCTGAGTTTATCATTACTTCAATCCTTTTTTCATTTGGTTGCCCCAACACTCTACTTAGCATCAAAAGCACTCAGTATTTGTGTAGTGTAAAAGCATCTATTTGGTCGCTTGCCAAACAACAAATTATTTTTTTGCTTTTTACAGTGCCACTTACAAAAAAATGCTCGTGAGTAAAAGCGTTTTATGAAGTAGCCACAACAAAAGCCCTTAATAAATTTATTTAACGCTGAGGATAAGCTCAACATCAAACCATTCCAATAAGATTGTTGGCCCAAGCAATGAGCTTTTTTATTTTGCTTCTAACATCAAGTTTGTACCCGTTTATTTGGTCTGTTTCATGTTGGGAACACAAGCAACCACTCTCCCTCATTTCATTATTTTCAATCTTAGATTCTTCATAAGTCTTTCATACAGTAAAAAAATCACGTATAGTACAAAATTACAAGTTCGTATTGACGCCCTCTTTCTTATAAGACCCACACCAAGCAAAATGGCATTACAATTGGGAATATGTCCTGCCTTCAAGGTTCACAATTTCAACCAATCCAGCATGCCCTTGATCAGTTTCATATCAGGATGTGAAGTATCGCCCACAGTGAATTAATGAACTGTGTCCTGGTTCTCAATCTAACTTAGGCCAGGTTCCTTCTTTACTCCTTTCCTTTTCATGTTTTTGATAACATACGCTACATTATTCCATCTCTTCACGGTGGCATATATGTTTGACAATAACACATGGGTCGCCTCATCCTGAGGATCCATTTCAAGAACATGCTTGGCAGCCATCCTTCCAAGTTCAATATCATTATGGAGAACACAAGCTCCAAGCAAGGCACGCCACACTATAATACTAGGTTCACATGGGATTTCCTGAATCAACTTCGCAGCCTTACCAAGATGGCTTGTCTCCCTAAAAGCCCGACCATACAAGTGTAGTGCTCCATGCATGGTTCAACATTATAGTCATGTACCAGAGAGTCAAAATAAGCTTGTCATTGATCTAACAATCCTGCATTGCTACATGCTGACAGGACACCAACAAAAATTAACTTGTTTGATTTGCAATTTGTTTCCTGCATCATTTCAAAAAAAATTAGAGTCCCAAGGCCAAGGCGATGTATAGAATATCCCGAGATCATGGTATTCCATTAAACCTAATCTTGTTGCTTCAACTTATCAAACACCAGGCCAGCATCTTTAATGTTCCCACATTTGGCATGCATGTCTATCAATGAATTACCCACTAGTATCCTTGTCATATATGGTTTTGACAGTTACAGAATGTATCTGAACTCCTGGCTCCAACGCTGCTAGGCCAGAAGAAGCACGGAGAGCACTAGAGTACGTCACTTCTGTTGCCTCGACTTGGCATCTAAGCATATCTTGAAACAACATCAACGCCTTCTCTCCATCACCTAACTGGGCGTAAACAATCATCGTGTTCCAAGATACATAATTTCTATTTGGTGATCCCAATCTCCACAAATTAGTCCATAGAGTCCTCTATCTTTCCACATTTAGCATAGACACCCATGAGGACATTTGAAACATAGACAACAGAATCAATACCAACCTCGGTTACATGGCAATGGATTTGCTTCCTGAAAACTAAATGCTCCATAGTTGCACAAGCTTGCATATGTAAAATGGTTGGGAACAACAAATGCTGGCCTTATCCAACAAAACAAGTCCAGAGCCTCTTTGCAGCGGTCACTCCGAGCAAACCGTGAAACCATGAGGCTCCAAGCAACCGCATCATTTTTGGGTATCACTTGAAATACTTGCCGAGCCTCCTGAATATCTCCAAACTTGGTGCACATATCAAGCAATGCTGTACTCAAATACAGATCCCCTTCATAAAATGATTTTATTACACGCCAATGGACACTCTTCCCTCCATTTAAGGCCTCTAATCCACACAAGCCTTAAGCGTACCCGTAAAACTATAATTATTTGGCCTGAATCCAAGTCACCCTCATTCGAGAGAAGAGTTTGAGTGCTTCTTCAGAACAACCATTCTCGGCATAACATGCTACCATCCCAGTCCAAACAACCATATCCTTACAAACAATATCAACAAAACATCTCTAGCGACATCGACTTAACAAAATAACGAACGAAATAACATTTATCTCGCACATTTCATCAAACAGGTTAGCAGCATCAACGAGCATACCCACTTTGACATACATACTGAGAAGAATGTTGTCAGTAAACAAGTCCAAGCAGCCGCCTTTTTTTCAAAATCTCGCAATGAAGGCCCACTGCGGAAGTTGAATAGCCGTTTCACAGACAGTGCTGGAGCACGGCGCCGTATGCGTGAGAATCGAACTCTGAGCTGGGAAGCTCTGGGTGGAAGGTGCAGTGTTGTGGGACCAGTTGGGCGGCGAACCCACATCGTGAAAAAGTTGTCACGGCGGTGGTTGTTAATTGAGTGGCGAGATTTGCAGACTACAACGTTCTTTGGCAGCAATCTAAGTATGCCAACGAAAACTGAAAACGAAGAAATTCGTAAAGTTGTGAACTTTGGCTTCCTGTAGGGAACACCACTCTCCCTTTAGACTTTGAGAAAGGGCAATATGTTTCAGCGGGAAGGATAGTCACCTTCGCGGCATTAACCACTTTTTTTTTTTTTGTTATAGTACAACGGTACATTTACGTTAAGAGAAGAGAAGAAATTCTGCTAAACCACATAATGGGCAACCTACTTTTGTATCGAATTCGAAGACCAAAAAACACCGAGCCTCAACATACCCACCAACACACCAATAAGTTCTTGAAGCGCATAAATAAATAAAAAAGGAAAACAAAAAGTAAAAACTAAAGCTTAAAATTTTGAAATTCAAGAAAGCAGTTTTTAGTTTTTAAAAAGGAGAAAACGAAATGGTTATCAAACATGTCATTAGAAAATGAGTATTTTTGCTCCGGAGAAGTCATTATAAGTATTTTATGTTTAAATCATTGCAATTCTTTGTCATTTTCTTAATAAAGAAATAATGCATTTTTTCTCACGGCTCTCAAATGAAATGCAAAATGATCTTTTAGTAGTTAATGATTTTTATGTAAGAGAAATGTAGAATGATTCTTTCGGAGTTCCATTTTTCATGTTAGAGAAGTGCAGAAAAATCTTTTGAAATGACAATAACATTTTTCACTCTACCTTTCGCGACAATCATAGCACTGATAGACCATAGCGAATAAACAGTAAAAACCAGCTGAAGCTTAGTCAGGCAAAACAATTCGCTCCGTACAATTTAGATTTTTAGATCTAGACAGGTGGTTCGTTTGCATAAATTAAAACAAAAGAGAGATTGATTGAATGGAAGGACATTTCTTTTTTGGTACAACGATATCCTAAATTACTCTAAATTTACGAAGAGATCTAAAATCCACCAGCAAGTAGGCAAGCACACAAATCCGGCAAATGATTAGTTACATGCAGGAAGGATTGTGTTGCAACGAAACCATAAAATCTGCAAACAAAATATTGTATCGCAGTTGCTGGTAAATCTCAAAGCTCTTTAACAGAAACAGAAAACCTGAATTCATCAAGAACAAGATGCCAATCCAATGCAATTTGAGAGACATTCCTACACAAAGGTTGCAAGGTTTATTCCGGTACTTGCCCGAGTAACAAGGATCGCAAGTGCAGTATGTAAGGATAGACGAAAATGACAACACACAACATTAATCAGCACCAAACACTACGTACAGAGCAGCTTAAGAGAATGAAATCTACAAAACTCAGATGCACTCAACTACAACACATGATCTAATTCTAATCATCAGAACACTCGCTTGTAATACCAAAGGGTTATCGCTACACAAGGGAAATTCCAGATTCAACTACAAAAGCTCCCTGTATGCAAACTAAAAGCCTTACTCCCTTAAATAAAAGATAGATATGGAGCACAAGCTGAATCAGTGATTCAGTATTCAGCCCTCCGACTAAATAAAACAATGTGAAACCCAACATTCAAGGCCAAATCACTTGCAAAGCATTTGCATATACATACAATATACATTGAAAACAAATTGGTGCATCGATGAACAAAAGTAGCAGCTATATAACATTTCCATGACGGAGAAATTGATCAATGATAATCTGTAAATGGAACTGAAAAGGGCAGGCATATGAACACTTCAAACAATCCATAAGAAGTGCAAAAGGTAATGTAACCACCAAAATTAACTAAATATTCATGACACTACACTCTCATGGTAAAGGTCCAGACCGCTGCCCCAACAAATGACATATTCAAAAGACTACAAAGAAAAAAGCAAATAAAAAAGCAAAGGCAAAAACAAGGAGAACCAAGATTTCAACCTTAAATCACCCTCACAAAGCTCTTCTGCAATTTGCCGAATACATGTAAATGCGATCAAAGCACGAGCATCAGTCCCCCTTTCTTCTGAAAGAGCAACCCTCGGTGAGCCTGGCTCGGCCTCCAGTAGGCTGGCACAACACTGTCTGGCAATTCCCACACACCACAACTTTTTGCGAGTGACTGAACACGGTTGTTCTGCGCAAATGATTTTCACTTCGTTACACTTACACTCAAATTTAAATCATATATAGAAACTACTTCAACAAAATCATCTCAACGAATACAGGAAGATATCGAAATAGGCATCATTACTTACATGCTGAAGCATCCTTGGCACTTAACATCCTGGGCGCATTTAAAACAATCAAAATTAAAATCTTCACCAAAGAAAACAAAAATTATACGAAAACGCAAACGTCAAATCGATAATTGCGTACTATTAGTTACCATGAAAAAAGAGTTGGGCGTCTGCACAAGCCTCTTGAGCTTGTGCTTCCTCTTTTCGAGCTCAGCAGGTGGGTGAAGCAAATCGATATCGTTCTGAAGCACCTGTTTACAACCAGCCATCAAAATCCACTACTAATCAATCCATTTTCTCACAAACCATTATCTTTCCCAATTAATTTAACAAAAACAGAACGACCCAATTCAAAAAATCGCTCATCAGTGACATTCAACACATTAAACGAGTTTAAAAAAGAACAGGCGATATGGGAAACTGGGGATAAATCTGTGAGCCGAATGAAAATACGGATTCCGATCAGAAAAATTGGTTGAAAATATATGAAAAACAAAATATTTATGTGTTGGGTTCTAAGTTCTAACCATCTTGATCGATGCAGATTGTAGCAAACCAGAGAACACAGAGCCGCAAGAACCTTTAGAGAGAGCTGGAGTGCGTGAGAGGAGCGACTGAGAAGATTTGGGTTTTATAAGGCTATGAATATAAACGAGTGTCTGGGTGATGTGGGCCGTCGGATCCAACACTAACTTATTCTCCGCCTTTACGGTCATCATCCTTTAAACATCATAACTAGACAATACGACGTCGAGTAAAGATGTGAGTTATTAGCAGAAGCAATTAGGATTTCTTCCTCCCCTCCATAAATAACGCGATCTACCGATTCTTCTTCTATAGTGTCTTCGTCCTACGACGGCTCCGCAGGATATGACCAGACACCGCGTTGAGTTTTGCTCCGTAGGAAATGACTAGACCCCAACCAAATACTTTATTTTCCCGGCATGCTGGTGAGAGCCGGAGTACCGCAAATTCTGATAAGGGAAGTCAGCTCGGCACTAACGGTCGAATTCACGCAAACACCACACATACGGATGTGTGCCTGACCTGCATTACTCCGCCAGCTGGCAGGAATGTTGGAGTAACGAGTTAGCAAATGATCTGGACTGATGACCATTGGTACAAGTCTGTCCCTTTTGACCAGGTCAGGCCAAATTATGTGACCGGATGCGAGAAATCTTGAGAAAATAATATCCTTAGTTTATCATTACTTAAATCCTTTTTGATCTTATTGCCTAACATTCTACTTAGCATCAAAATCACTTGTATTTGTATAGTTTAATAGCATCTATTTGGTTGCTTGCCAAACAACAAATTGTTCTTTTTATAAAAGTGCTACTTACAAAAAACGCTAGTAAGTAAAAGCGTTTTATGGAGAAGTATAGTAAAAAATACTTACTAATTTTATTTAATGGTTAGGACAAGTTTAACATCAAACTATTCCAATAAGACTGCTAGCCCAAACAATGAGCTTTCTGATTTAAAGATATAATTTAAGAAAATGAAATTGTACAGTCAATTGACAAGTGGTTATACAGAATAGTGACAGTTGTCTATGGGCTCAGGGCGAGCTGATCAATTTTTGACGCATGTCATCGATGTCATTTAATGATATTTTATTTTCGTTGTTAAAATGTCTTTAAAATTTTAAAAATATATTAATTTTCCCTCTCTTATGTGTCTCACTCTTTTGCTTCTTCTTCATCTTGTTCCTCTTCCTCCGCACCTTTAGACAATCTCCAACCGAAGGAGGGTCAAAGGGATCTCTTTAGCCCTATAGCCTTCCAAGAAATTAATATTTTAATGAACAGTGTCAGACCATTTTTTTTACCATCTCCAACCGAGGGGCCAGAGGGTCATAGGTCAAACATAGCCCTGTGACAAAAAATCATCTCCAACTGAGGGGGCTAAAGGGTCATAGGGCCAAACATAATTTATTATTTTAATTGAATTAATATGGTTACTTAGATTAAACTACCTCGATAATTTTACGTTATGGATTGCCAATAATTTTTCGAGATGGAATCTCAATAATTTTATGTCTTGGATTTCAAGTGTCACGTGTCGATGTGTGAGTAACTTTGTAGATTTCTTATCGATAAGGAATCTCAATAATTTTACATCTCAGATTTCAAGTGTCATGTGTCGAGGTGTGAGTAACTTTGCATGATCTTGTTGCACATCTTTGGACCAAAAGAAGCTTGGAGTAGGCGTTTAAGTTTTATGTTGTTAAATATTTTTTAAAATGTTGTTTAAGTTTCATGTTGTTAAATGTTTTTTTTATGTTGTTTAATGTTACTTAATGTTATTTAATGTTGTTTAATATTGTTTATAGTTGTTTCATGTTACTTAATGTTATTTAATGTTGTTTAATAACTTAGGAAGTTATAAGGGAAAAAAAAAATTTAAAAATAATTTGAAAAAAAAAATTGTAAAAAAAAAAAATTAAATCAAATATAACAGCTAGCTAACGTCTGCGACTAGCCGTTGGTTTTAAACGCCTGGCCTCCACCGGGGCTGGTTGGCTGGCTGGGTTGGGCTAGTTGGTTGACCATTTCTCCTTTTTTGGCCCCATGAGGCCCACAAGCCCTTTGACTTAACCCTCGGTTGGAGACGGTTTTCGTGTCATTTCGAGCTATTTTCGACCATATTATCTTTTGGCCGGATCGGTTGGAGATGGCCTCACACCATTTGAACCTCCGAAACCCCAACAACTCCCCACCACACACCCTTCGAAATCCTAAAATTAATTAGTAAATAAAAATCAAAAGCGTAGAACTTGCGTAAGTAATTCCTTCAAATTTAGAAATATTCATAACTTGGAAGTAATTTCTCTAGATATATGTGAAATAATACTTTACATTTTCATAAGTCTCTCCACGTATAAAAGGGTACTTAAGTTAAATATAAAAATAACATATTTTGGTTTAACCCATGAGGCAGGCGTGACCGTTGTGCTGAACACATGTGCCAATGCATAATATCTTAACACATTAAAGCTCAATTGAAAATGTATGATGCAACTCCATAATCTGCATTGCTAAAACAAGTAGTAATTAAACAGAATTTGACAAGAAAAGAAAGCAGGATAGTAAAACAGAATTATCCAAGGATTAAAGAAGCTTCTCATTTAAATGTCGTTAGATGGGCTATGCTTTCGAAATTCAAAGATCATACACTTAATAATGGGCTACGCTGCTCATAATTTGTTGTCACTAGCAGCATAGCCATCACTTAAGGTGTCAGTCTTGGTTTCCGATAATTAAGAGCATCTTTAAAGAAAATATCAAAATGTACACATCAGTTATAACAGTAAAAAAAAACTACACAAATATTCTCCAACTGAAGTACCAAATCCTATGTGACGATGACATGGATTGGCAACAAAAGAGGTTGCTGTCAAATTTGCTAGCAGCTTCAAATGTTTTTTTATTAATTATTAAATGTATTTTATTAATTTTTAATTAGTAGGAAGGTGAACAAATGGATCAATCAGGTACCCAAATCCCCAGTGTTCAAAAATTTTCAAAAACCCATTTCACATCTATGAGCATTCAATTTCCAATTTTCATTTTTCAATTGAATACCTGTAGGGATCATAAATTGAAGCGCTAGAACAGCAGCAACAATCCCCACAAGCGGTCTGATTGCCTCTTGCCAAGAAACTCACTTTCGACGCATACCCAATATCACCATTGCGCTTGGGCACCAACAACGGCGGCGGCAGTCCCACTCTACCTCTGCTGAAGTTCCACACTGGCCTGCTCACGCCTCATAGCTTGGTTTAATTAGTTTAATAATTTATTTTATAAAATAATAAAATAATAATTTAATTTGACATATCGGGTGGAGAACAAAACTTTAAAAAATATCAAAGTGCCACATAAGTTGTCAAAATTTAAAATTTATATTCAAAATTTAACATCTTATTTGAAAATGATCTAAAACATCCGAGTCGCATCACAAACTACAAAGGCAGTGGCCGTCGATATGAAACATTATAGTGCGACTGAAAAGCCCTTATGTTGGAAATCAAGTATGTTTGTGTGGTTGGGCCATTTGTTTTGTGGGTGCACTAGGAGAGATTTTTTATTTTAATTGAAACACGAATGATATATTACGTATTTTTATATAAATAATAAAAAAATTTATTTTTTAAGTTATTAACTTTTTAACGCACATATCCTACTATTTATATGGAGACACGTGATGTATCACTCTGTATTCCGACCACACTAAAAAAATCTAAGAAAAACTAATAAAACGTCCTAAAAAACCTTAATTTTAATCAAATGAACAAACTAAAAGTATAAGTGAATAGTAAATTTTTAAATTTAAAATATTATTAGTGTTAAAAGTAAATAATATAAAAAATGTTTGATTAAGACTTCCAAAAATCTATCGTACACTAGAACAAATTAAAAATAACAAATGGGTTATGACTTAAATAGTTAAATTGATATTTGTTGGATATTTGAAACATGCCATTAATGTGATTTGCAATATGCTTTGGTTTTCGTGATATATATATATATATATAATATTATTTATTTATACCATACATATATTATATGGGTGAATATTTGATTTACAATTCTGACTTTTACGCAGGTATGACTACCGGCATGGATGGTTACTTGTTGCTCAGAGCAAGTCCATCCCTAAAAATGCACAAAAATTAAGCTTATTTAATCAACTTAAATAAATAGTAATTGATCTAAATAAACAGTAATTGATTAAATGCATTTTCACTTTTAAAAAATGAGCTGACACAAAGTCTTGTCAATTCGTATTAAAATATTATTCTTTTATAAAATAATTAAAAAAATTAATTTTAGTTTTGAATATTACTTTTAACCAATCTTATCAAGTCATGTGTCATTATCCGAAAGTACTATTTTGTGGATAGATTTCCGATAAGATTTTCAACCAATTCCGACGCGCCACGTGTCACTATCTGTTTACAATCCTTTAGTCAAGATTTCGATAAGATTTTCAATCAATCACGTATTGCCACGTGGCATTATCCAGAACCTCATCCTTTCTTTTTTTGTCCATATAAACCCTACCTCCATCCTAATTCATACATCACACTCAAACTAACTCATAATTCTTCATCATCGTTTTTAAATCTTGAGTTTTTACAATGTCTTAAAAGGAGATTGTATGAAATCGATAAGCAACAAAAAAAATTGTTGGCAGAACAGGAAGAATTGTTCAATCTCGAGGATGGTGGACATGAGGCGTTTTTCATGGAAAATGATGAGGATGATGAACATAGAAGGCAAAGAGCCTCACATTCTCGTCGTGTCATGCAAAATGTGGATCAGATCTCCAAACCCAAACGTGCTGCAAACTTGGATAAAAAGAGGAAAAGACAAGGTAAAGATCTCTTGGAAGATTATTTTATCCCCAATAGTTTATTCCATGATCATATTTTTAGACGTCGTTTTAGAATACAATGAAGTTTATTCAACATTTTCATGTTGGCTGGGTCTTCAGCCACCACATAACCTCACCATTTTCATGCTGGGTCTTTAGCCATGGCAACATTACCTATCAGAGCACCACCCAACACCTCAGCCACCGAAACATCCATCCCCCTTAAAAACCCAAAAACTTTGGCCGCTTCTTTTACAACCTTGCTCTTGGAGGGCAGTTGTTTGCTATTGGTGCCAATCCTATAGGTACCTTTTTGAGTAACGATGCCCACAAAAAGTTGGTTTGGATTGTCGGTTTCTCTGTCGGTTCTATTTTCTACGGACTGGTATTCTTATCTGCAAGATTAAAATACCCTCTCTACATATGGACTGGGTTATCCGTTACCTTTGTGAGCAACGATGCCCACAAAAAGTTGGTTTGGGTTGTCTGTTATCTGGGTAACGGATAACCCAGCCCATATATAGAGAGGGTATTTTAATCTTGCAGATAAGAATACCAATCCCTAGAAAATAGAACCGAGAGAGAAACCGACAACCCAAACCAATTTTTTTGTGGGCATCGTTGCTCACAAAGGTACCTTGAGGACTGGTACCAATAGCAAACAACATCCTTCCAAGAGCAAGCAAGTTTGTGAAAGAAGCGGCCAAAGTTTTTGGGTTTTCAGGGGGATGGATGGTTCAGTGGCTGAGGTGTTGGGTGGTGCTCTGATAGGTAATGTTGCCATGGCTGAAAACTCAGCTATGAATATGGTGAGGTTATGTGGTGGCTGAAGGCACAGCTAGCATGAAACCTAGATAATATTTTCGTTCGGCATCCATCAAGATGTTCATCCCAAGAAAGACTTTGTCCGGAGAATGGTAGTCATTAACTCAGTTCTAGCAGCCATTATATTTTTAAAATCACTTTTCCACATTGGAGTTTCTTAAGGCTGGCTGTTTCTGAAGAAGAACATGTCTTTCCAGGGTCCAACAAGAGGTTTAGCTTCCTGGAGAAAGCCATTATGTGGCTTGCCAAATGTCTTGGTATGAATTCTTATATAATTATTTTTATAAAATATTTAGTAAATTTCTTTTTATATTAAGGGATTTTTTATTTATATAAGGTTTTGCTTCCGTTGCTCCTCCTGCTGCCGCCACACCCCCTGCTGCCGTTGATCCTGTTGCCGCTGCTGCTGCTATTGCTACTCATGGTGGTGGTGGAGGTCAAGCATCTTGAATCTAGGTCATGCTTGGGATAGGGTTTAGGTAGTCTATATTTATTAAGACTTTGTTGGCATTACTGTAATGATGGTATTTGAATACTATTTAAAAACTGTAGCACAATGACGTTGTTTTGGATTTTATTTTAATTAAATATTCTACGTGTTCCTCTTGCCAAAATATACTCACTGACCCTGCATCCGCACACCGCCACAACTAACGCGGCGGCTATGCGGTCTCGATCACTCTCTCTCTCGTCTTCTTCTTCTTCGTCGCTCCTTCAACAATGGAAGCTAGGGTTTCCGGTCACGTACTCTGGGTTCGTCAGCAAAGGCCTTACCTCCAAGAGATCGAGAAGGTTGTTAGCGACGTCAAGGTCATACCGGCGGATAAGCACTGCGAGTGGGCGGATTTCATGGTCTTCACTACCGGAAGGTCCACGTGGCAACGTCAAGAACATTGCTCAAGCCTTAATTTACAAGGCAGGTCCAATTTTCTCTTTAATTTCAATTCCTGAGTTGTGTTTGGTTGCCTAGAAAATTTGAGTCTAGATTTACCTAGTTGACAGGGAAAACGGTAATATAAAATTCTTTATGTTATTTACATTGTTGCTTGATGATTAACAAGGCTTTATTGCTTGATGATTAACACGGCTTTATTGTCTAGGTTTTCGATGATGAACTCGATCACGTGTGTGTTTATCTGAGCAGTCTGAGCAAAAGCAGCAAGGAGCTGAGCGACTAGCCCTTCCCAGTGTGGAAGGGCAAAATGGAGGAAAGTGGATTGTCATTGATACCGTTATGTTGTGCTCGTTGTAGGATCGTCGTTTTTAGTTGTTGAAAACTAGTTTTGATTACATATTTACTCTAGTTATGGCATGTTTGATTTTTCGCATAAACCAGGCACCACAATATTCGTGGAAAACTGAAAATTGTTTTGTTGTTATGGAAATTTCCAATAGCCATACGAGGGCTCAAACTTTCCGTAGTGTGTATTTTGACTAAATTATTGAATGACGAAGGCCATTTTTGTGTTTCCTAGTGGAACATATGAATCTTGTACTTCTGTATAACATTTGCCATTACATGCCTCATTGATATTGTTAGTTCCTTTCTCTTTGGGTTTTAATACTGGGTTTCTTTATTTATTTATTTATTTAGGCAAAGTGATAGCTCATGCTCTTGATGAGAACGCTAGAGCACTACACTTTGGAGCCTCGTTGTGGTTATTTGTCTAGTTGAAATTTTCTTGGTGTTACACTTGGATATTTTCACTGAAGACATTGTCGGTGACTTTTAATAAGGCATCGGTTGGGTTGGGGTTGAGTTTAAACCCGTGGCACAAACCTGTATTAAATGTATTTTAGATCTTGTATTGAGTTTTAATACAAGTGATATTAAGAGGAGAGAATGTACTTGGATTGTTCTTGGATTACCAGATTAAATTTAATAGTCGAATATAACAAGAACAAAAGGTCCATAATGAATTTAGGTTGGATAGTGGCCGATTTAGGAAAATAACTTGTATAACACGATTATACTGTCACATGACATTTTGTACCAATGAAATAAAGACATGTGGATGCGGGATTCGACCATGGAGATGAAATAAAAAGGTTTGAATGAGTAATTAATTTTTGTAGCAGACTTCTATATAAGGAGTTGATTTTCATAGTTGTGTTCGATTCCTAATTTTGCAAAAGAGTATATTGTAAACATAACTGTTTGTAAGATTTATAATTCTTTCTAATATAAACGAAATTTCAACAACCCACGCCCCTTCCCCCCCCCCCAAAAAAAAATCACAGAAACAAAAATTTGAACAGAAAAGTCATTTTGAAATCCAAATTTACACTTCTAAACACATAATATTCAAACTAGAAAATTAAATGAGCCTTGATCAGTTGCATATACAGTTCATTCAATTTTAATTATTTTCTTTTCCATGAATTTTCTTTCATTCTTTGTATTTAAAATGGTAAATAACAACCAATTGGAAAACGCACACAAAATAAGATAAATATTGTCACATCCCGGCCCGGGACGGATCACTTCCCGGGCCCGCTTCCACTACCGTAGCACGATATTGTCCGCTTTGGGCTTACCATTCCCTCACGGTTTTGTTTTTGAGAACTCACGAGCAACTTCCCAGTGGGTCACCCATCCTGGGAGTGCTCTAGCCCTCTACTCGCTTAACTTCGGAGTTCCTACGAAACCCGAAGCCAGTGAGCTCCCAAAAGGCCTCGTGCTAGGTAGAGATGTGAATATACATTTAAGGATCAGTCCCCTGGGCGATGTGGGATGTCACAATGAACGGATGAGATTACGGGATCTTTAAGAAAAGGATCATGCAAGGTCATTTTCCATGACTACAAAGCTCATGTTTGGAAATCACTTATGTTTGTGTGGTTTGGCCATTTTTTTGGGGGTACATTAGGGGAAATTTTTTATTTTTATCGGAATACGAGTAGTATACTACATGTTTTTATATAAATGATGAAATTTTTTATTTTTTAACGTACCTTTTCACTATTTATATAAAGACATATCATTTCGTGTTTAGACCATACTAAAAAAAATCTCTCGTACACTTAGATCAAATTAAAAATGTTATGACTTAAATTGATATTTAATGTGATTTGCAATATGCTTTGGTTGTTGCTCAGCATCTCTACAAGAACACATGCATGAAGAATAACAGGACAAAATTAAAAGGACCAAAAGGACTAGAGGAGGGTAGAGAGGTACTGTACACACTCTCTCTAGACAAAGAGATGGGCGCCACATTGTGTACTCTCTCTCGACAAAGAACCGGGGGCAACACGTAGTGTACTTTTTTTCTCTAGACACAGCTGGGCTTGCAATCTCTCTAGACTAGGCGCCACTATATAATCTCACCCTCTCTCACAGAGAATGACAGCCACCACATAATTTCATAATTTTCATTTCAGCCATGGCAACAACACCACGCAACACCGGAGCCAATAAATCATCCATCCCACCTGAAAACCTAGAACTGAACCCCAAGACATTGGCGACTTCTTTCACCACTCCTTGCCCTTGGGGGATTATCGTTCGCTATCGGTACCAGTGCTCCAGGTACATTTGTGCACAACAAAGCCCACAAAAAGTTGGTCTGGATTGTGGGTTTCTCACTGGGTTTCATATTTTATGGATTGGTATTTTTATCAGCCAAATTAAAATACCCTATGTACATATGGCTTGCATTATCTGTGACCTGGATAATGTTCTGGTTTGGCGTCAATGAAAACGTCTATCCCAAGAAATATTTCGTCAAGATGGTGTTAATCATTAACTCTACTCTCACAGTCCTAATCTTTTTTAAAACACTCTTCCTTGTTGGAGTGTCTAAAAGCTTCCGGTTTCTGAAGAAAAACCTATCTTTTTGGGGTCCAAAAGCTTTTCTCAACCACCTAGAGAAAGCTAATCCATGGCTTGCCAACTGTCTAGATATGATATTTTATATAATTATTTCTGTAAAAATATTAGAAAATTTCTTTTTATATTAAGATCTTTTTTTTATTTATGCAAGGCTTTGCTTCTCCTGCTGCCCATGCACCATCTGCTGCCTTTGCACCCGCTGCTACTGTTGATCTTGTTACCATTGTTGCTGCTACTATAGTTGCTACTCGTGGTGGTGGATGTCAAGCAGGTCATGTTTAAGGTAGGGTTTAAATATTCTATATTTAAAGACTTTTTGTTGGATTACTGTTCAAGTTATCAATGTCATGAAATCAGTTAATATAAATAAATTATTTCTACAAATTTACAAGTCAGCTGATTTCAGGACACTGATAACTTGAACAGTAATCCAACAAAAAGTCTTTAAATATAGAATAATTAAACCCAACACTAAACATGACCTGCTTGACCTCCACCACCACGAGGAGCAGCAACAGCGGTAACAAGATCAACGGCAACAGTGGGTGCAGAGGGTGCAAGGGCAGTAGGAGAAGCAAAGCCTTCTATAAATAAATAAAAAAACTTAATATAAAAAGAAATTTTCTAATAATTTTACAGAAATAATTATATAAAAGATCATACCAAGACAGTTGGCAAGCCATGGATTAGCTTTTTCTAGGTGGTTGAGAAAACCTCTTGGACCCTAGAAAGATAGGTTTTTCTTTAGAAACCGGAAGTTTTCAAACACTCCAACAAGGAAGAGTGTTTTAAAAAAGATTAAGGCTGAAAGAATAAAGTTAATGATTATCTCCATATTGACGAAATATTTCTTGGGATGGACGTTTTCGTTGACGCCAAAACAGAACATTATCCTAGTCACGGATAACGCAAGCCATACGTACAAAGGGTATTTTAATTTGGCTGATAAAAATAACAATCCATAAAATATGAAACCCATTGAGAAACCCACAATCCATACCAACTTTTTGTGGGCTTTGCTGTGCACAAATGTACCTAAAGCACTGTTACCGATAGCGAACAATAACCCTCTAAAGGCAAGGACATTGGTTAAAGAAACCGCCAATGTCTTGGGGTTCATTTCTGGGTTTTTAGGTGAGATGGATGATCTATTGGCTCCGGTGTTGGGTGGTGCTGTTGCCATGGCTGAAATGAAAATTATAAAATTATGTGGTAGTTGTAGCTCTTTAAGAGAGGGTGGGATTATACAGTGATACCTAATCTAGAGAGAGTGCACTCCTAGCTCTGTGCCTAGAGATAAAGTACAATACGTGACGCCGCCCCAGCTCTGTCTAGAGAGAGAGTACACAACGTGGCAGCCAGCTCTCTGTCTAAAGAGAGTGTACAGTACCTCCGTGCCCTCCTCCAATCCTCTTGGTCCTTTTAATTTTGTCTTGTTATTCTTCCTGCATATATTCTTGTAGAGGTGCTGAGCAACAAATATCAATTTAAGTCATAACATTTTTAATTTGATCTAGCGTACGAAAGATTTTTTTAGTATGGTCTAAACACGAAATGACAAATCATATGTTTTTATATAAATAGTGAAATATGTACGTTAAAAAATAAAATAAATGAATAAATACTTCATCATTTATATAAAAACATATAGTATACTACTCTTGTTCTGATCAAAATAAAAGATCGGTTGGAAAATTTGACTAGGCTCTAGGCGGTGCTAGGCGGCTAGGCAGTTCCTTACCCTCATACATAAAATAAAATAAATAAATAAATAAGGCATGTGTTAGTCTCCTTTCTTTTTCTGTCTGAAATCATCAAATGGACACATATTCAATAATGGCATGGGGGATGTTTACCTCTGTGGGAAGATTGGAGCTTCAATGTGCCACCATTTCCATGGTAGGACTTGCTGGTTTTGGTTTTTGCAGACAAGATTGACTATTGTGAGGGGCTAAAGGTGAGTGGGTGTAGTGAAATGAGATAGAAGGGTCAAGCATTGGAGCTAAAACGACAGATGAGGAGCGGCTAGGGTTTTTCATTATAGGGAAGTGAGAGCTTTTTTTTTTTTTAATCTTAAAGAGAGGTTTGAGAGAAATCGAAGAGGGCCGAGTGAAATGAGAGGGTCCTGCTATTATTGAGAGATATTTCTCATATTCTAGAGAGAGAGAAAGGCCTAGGGTTTCTAAAAAGCAATCAGAAATGAGAGAAATGAGGGCACATCTAAGCCTTTATTTTGGAATCTTAAGAAGTTCACCACATGGATGCATGACACGTGTGCATACCATGTCTGTTGACAAGGACGTTCTGACACAGAGAGTGTCGCAAATGCTAGGGTTCTTTTTTTTAAAATGAACATGTTGCTGCTAAATTAGCATACATTGTAGCTGTTCCTTAAGATTGACACCAATATGGACTTGGTAGTGTTGGTCAGCGCATCCTTACAAGTTACCAGATCTCTAGTTCGAACCCTGCGCCCATCATATTTTTCGTTCTTTTTTATGTGCCTTTCCCATGGCTCCAGGTCTTGATTCAAATCAAGGCGAGCCCTTTCCTTTTTCTTCTTTTCTTTTTGTTTTATTATTTGTTTATTTTAATTTATTTGTTTCTTTTATGTTTTTCCTTTCTTTTAGTTTATTTATGTTAGGCGTTTTTATTAAAGTATGACATAAAATCAATTATCTCAAATTTTTGTTTTACAATAATTAATTGAAATTTGCTTTGCTTAGCGATATGTTTATCCTACAATACTCGTTACTATGGTTATATGACATATATGCTTAATGTGTCTTTAAATTTTGGATTTGTTGGATACATTTTTTTACATTTTATCATTCTTTTATTATCTTATACATGAATTTCATACAAGTATAATTTTTTGTAAGTGTCAATATGCACTTATTTACAAGATATACAAGAAATTTACTTAAATTAGCCCAAGCGCCCGTCTTAACCCCGCCTAGCCGCCTAGGCGTCAAACGCCAGCCTGCCGCCCGACTAGCGCCTAAGATTTTTTAGAACCTTGGTGCGGACACATAAGAAGGTGCGAAAGATATTTTTGTTTCACTCTATTTTCATATGATGTGGTTAATTTCACAAAGAAACCATTCATAAAGGAATCCAGTGCAAACAATGCAACATATAGAGTGTTAAAAAGCAGATGAGGAATATATAAAGCCTAAGAGCAACAACATACAAATGAGTAACATTTTCTTTAGCTCTATATTGTCATGGTCATTTCAATAGCTGGTGCAACGATGTAGGTCCTACAGTAAGAAACAAAAAAGATAAAAATTAACTCTTAAAATGGCTAGAGGCAGCAACATCTGCAAGTCAACGATGGGGAACAATGTCTCCATATCGTGTCAATACTTCCTCAAAACCATTGCAATACCAGAAAGATAATATCGAGATCAAAACCCTAACCAATACCAAAAAGATATTTCTTTTTATTTCAATTTTAAGAAAAGGCCTAAACTTTACGAAATTAAGGGGAAAAAGAAGTTAAGAAAAGCACCAATTTGCAACTATCAAAAGTGAAATCTGAGACTCCAACTGTCTTGAAGAACTCTGTCGCCTCATCGATTATGACCAGACGGTGGAGATTGAACTCGTGCGTACACCTAGAGCACCTGATTATACCCTGAACGTAAAACAAAATTTAAATCAAGTCGAGCAATAATTATGAGAAAATAAACTAAAAGGGATTTGAGCTGACAGTTACGATTCGAAGTGCGGGCTGTGGAGGGCGCAGGTTAGCGGCAGCAGAGGAGGGGTTGAGTTAGGGCTCAATGAGAGAGAAGGTAGTGCTGCTGTACTTGTGGAGGTGCTGAAGCAGACGCCAGGGGGTGCACTGTGGTTGGTGAGACGTGGCAGGTGACGAGTGGAGGCAGAGGAGGACAAACGGAGAGGAAGCAGAGAGGCACCAACCTTCACTCATCTACAAATTGAATCAACTATGAAAGAAAATTAATTCGACGAATTAGAATCAAACTAATGAAATTGAACTGAACAAAACCCTAACTCAAATTTATTGGACTGGAATCAAACTAATGAGATATAATCAGTAATTTGCACATAATGATAAGAATCTAGCAGTATTTCATAGAAAACTAATGAAAAGAGCTTAAAAATTTTAACTTTGAATTATAAAGATAAAATAAATAGTATCGGATTGATTTTTAGAGTAAAAATGTAATTTTTTCTTAAAATAAAAAGTACCCTGAATTTTTCGTTAAAACTTCTTATTTCCATTGTTTAAAACCCAAATTCAAGAAATCATGAAAAATAGAAACTTTATATGGAATTGAAGCTACAAATTTAGAATCGAAAATCAGACCGTTGTTTTAAACATACCCAACTCAGTATAATTTGTTTGCCAACAATCTGAAGAGGCAGCATACATTAGTCACCAATTTCACAAAAAACTTGTCAAAACCTGCAGATCCGCAGCAGAAAGAAAAATAAAGACCTTAAATTTGTTAGCCCAGACTTCGTCAAATGAGGATAAATCATTAAAAACAAACTTACCTTAAAGCTACTGCCCCGACGATCGCAAGATGAGAACAAAACGCCGAACAACAAAGGATTCGATACTGCCAAAAGACTAGAAACTAAATCCCGAAAAAATTAAACCCAGGATCTCTTCTGAGACTATTTTACAAAAGAAAGATCAAGGATTTGAGAGCAAAAGAGGGGCTGGCGAAGAGGGAGAAAATCGCAGCCTAACGAAGGCGAAAAACGAAGAGGAAAGGTAAAACAAAAAAGATGCGGTCGAAGAAAGAAAATATAACAATGAAAGACGCATGGCCGGGAAGGACAAAACAGACATAATACAGTAGCAAATCATAAACAGTGGGTAAAGCAAAGAAGAAACCAAGGGCATTTCAGCCTTTCACTGTGAATGAACAGTAAGTTTTTGCTGGCTTTTAGTGTGTATACATATATAATTTGTATTATTAACATCTGGGGAAGTCACGAAGTTGTTGTTGGTGAATTAATTCCTAGATCCGAGTCGCCACTTACAACCTCGATGTCATTACTGGAGAATTAATCCCCAAATCAACGGATTTGGACAGGCGGGTTAGGGCTGCCATTGAAATGGCGAAGTTTGCATAGTATGATTGAGAGAGAGTGACGAGGGTGTTATTGGTGTTTTAATGAAAGTACTTTGATAAAAAAAAAAAATTAAAGATTAATAAAGTTTGAGTCAAACAACATTAACGGTCATGACCGAATTCTAAATTTTACACACAAAAATTATCAAAAATAAATAAAGAAATACTATAGGCTAAAGGATTATTTAAAAAAGAGGATTACTAAAAAAAATCACGTTTCTTGGTAGAAAGTGAAGTTTCATTGAACGAAATAATAATTACAAGTCAGTTTATATAATTATCATTAGCTGTTAATTAAATATAAACCGACTAAACTAAATAAGCCACCTGAGAAAGCTAATCCATGGCTTGCCAAATATCTACGTATGAATTATATAACTATTTCTGTAAACTAATTAGAAAATTTCTTTTTATATTAAGAAATTTTTTATCTATACAAGGCTTTGCTTCCACTGCTCCTGCTGCCATTGATTCTGTTGCCACTGACGCTGCTGCTACCATTGCTGCTCGTGCTACCATTGATTCTGTTGCCACTGACGCTGCCAGTTTATTGATATTTTGTTTATCTGTTCAGCTAACATTATGTAAATGCAAAGATCTTGAGCGCAAGAGTCCTCTAAATTTCTTTTTTTTTTTTGTTTTTTTAATTTTTTTATTTGTTTATGATTTGGACAAGGCTTTTGTGAAGATTCGTCCCTAGAACAACTCCGAGAAGAAACCAGCAACGAAACGGGCATAATCAATTTCCAGATGTATGAAAATCTTTGCCATTTTATCTTTAACATCACCAAGCTCCCTGCTTGTTCTAAAAGTACATTGTGGTTATTTGTCTAGTTGAAATTTTCTTGGTGTTACACTTGGATATTTACATTAATTGAAGACATTGTCGGTGACTTTTAATAGGGCGTCGGTTGGGTTGGGGTTGAGTTTCACCCCTGTTGCACAAACCTGTCTTAAATGTATTTTAGATCTCGTATGGATTGTTCTTGGATTTCCAGATTAAATTTAATGGTCGAACATAACAAGAACAAAAGTTCCATAATGAAATTAAGTTGGATTGTAGCCGGTTCAGGAAAATAACTTGCATAACACGATTATACTGTCATGTGACATTTTGTGTCAACGAATTAAGAATATGTGGACGCATGATTCGACCTTGGATATGAGAATAAAAAGGTTTGCATGAGTAATTAATTTTCGTAACAGACTTCTATATAAGGAGTTGATGTTCATATTTGTGTTCGATTCCTAATTTTGCAAAAGAGTTTGTTGTAAGCACAAATGTTTTTAAGAATTATGATTCTTTCTAATATAAATGAAATTTCAACAAAAAAACCCCCCAAAATCATAGAAACAAAATTTTGAACAGAAAAATCATTTCGAAATCCAAATTTACACTTCTAAACACATAACATTCAAACCAAAAAATTAAAACGAGCCTTGATTAGTTGCATAAACATTATTCATTCAGTTTTAATTATTTTGTTTTTCCATGAATGACAACCACTTGCCAAACGCACACAAAATAAGACAAAAATATTTGAAAAAAACAAAAGAAATAATACGGGACTCAAAATCGAAGGTAAAGAAACATAAATAAAAAAATATTTAAAAATGCGTAACGCCGAGATAATAAAAAAGCCTCCCACATGCATTAAAGTATCCGATTACATTTTAAGTCGATCATGTTCGTTTTTGCTCTCGGGTGATTGCATAGTTTGGAGATGGCATGGGCAATAATCGAGGCATGTCCTCGCACGGTAAGGTTTTGGCGGACGCTTGTGTACATCTGCGTAGCGTTTGTATAGCACGTGGGGTTGAAAAATGAGATGGCTAGGGCTAGGGCCTGTGACACCTTCTGCAACTCTTGTCCATAATAATAAGCTTTCTTTTACCATGTAAAACCTCACAGTGCCTTTTCCTTCATTTATTTTCTCTTTTTCCTTTTCTGTGAAACTTTCTTTTACTTACACATCTCTGGGGAAAACCCAGTTTTGCTTCTTCATCAATTAATGTCTTTGATTCAGGTCTATTTTGCCCATCGACGTAAAACCTTTTACCGGGAAACACAGACTGAGGGAGAAAGGCTGCTGTACGGCTAGCATAAATGGGAGGAATATTAACTTTGAGAAATTTAAATATGAAATACGTGCTAAAAATTATGTGTTGGAAACTTTATAGTTAACAAGAACCCTAAATCACAACATCACTAGTACAAAAAACACTTTGCGCGACGTAAGTCCTTCATCGTGCAAAGTCAAAAAAACGTCACGTAAAAATTTGCACAACGAACCTTCGTCGCGCGCCAAGGCTGTGAAAGCAGGGTTTGCGCAACGAAGAAGTGACCTACATCACGCAAAGTGGGTTTACGAGACGTAGGTACGTACGTCACGCAAACCCACTTTGCATGATGTAAGGTTGTGCGTCGCGCAAACCCACTTTGCGTGATGCCGTCCCTACATCACGCAAAGTGTCCTTGCGCGACAAAGAAGTTCCATAGGTCAAGCAAAGTGGGGTTGCGCGATGCATAACCCTACATCACACAAAGACACTTTGTGTGACCTATGGAACTTCTTTGTCGCGAAAACTCTTTTTTTTTTTTTTTTACAAAAATATTTTTGATTTAATTTTTAATAAATATTGTAATTAAATTCTAAACAATAAATTAATAAATATTGTAATTAAATTCTAAACAATAAATGATAAACCAAGAAAATTTATTTAATTATAAACTATATGAAAATGTACATACAAGATGTCCGAACAAAAAAAGAAAAAGACTACAATATGTAGTCTTCTAGGTTTGATACATCAAACTACTGGGTATCGGCTAGGTGAAGCGGCTACAAGGTCAAAGGTGGAGCAAGATCAGATGCTGGCATCGGGATTTGGAGACCGGACATCGCTAAGGCCCATACAATCATACTCATTTGCTCACCCTGGGCCCTCATTTGCTTCCCGGGTATCCCGGGCTGCTTCATGGGCCGCAATCTTATCTTTTAGGGTTTCCACTTCCTCCGTTAGGGCAATGACCTATCATTGTGGTCGGTCTGGAAGAGGAGACACCCGTCTCAGAAACCCGCATCTTTCCCATATCCCGGAAAAACCTTGCCATGACGACAACCAAGCTTTTGATCCAGGATCTCAACAGAACATCAATCACCTACAATTTATAACTGAACATTTGGTGGAATTGACAAGTAAACAAGGGAGCCAACTTGCACCCAAATGGCAAGATGATAATCTTAAACACCTTAATTCTGAACAAGGTGCTTCACGTCTAGCATCTTGAATTTGTTCACATTCAAATTTTCATTTCAATATAGTAGAACCAGAGTATGGAAAGGGTACTACCTGAAGAATGGCAGCACGGACCGCTCGGGAAGCAAGCAGCATTTGTGCGCATGTAATGTACAATATCCTAGAGTCAGAACCAAAAACATAGTATTCTAATTAAATCCATCAAAAAGTGACACGATGAGTGCTCTCATTAACTTCAGATGCTCAAGTCTAAATGCAATCAACACAAACCTAACAGAAAGCTTAAACATGTAACAAACTAAACTTGATGAAAAGTCCAGGCCAGTCACCATGGATACTTAAAACATATAGATACAATACAAGTAAAACTAACTGTCTTGCAACTTGCAAGGATATGTTGTTTACCGTACTCTACAAAAAACACAGGAAACGGTGCACGAATCAAGAACCTATAAAATAAAGCAAGGGATTGGTTGAATAGTTACTTGTTTCAAGCTGGAAGTGTCATATCCAATGTATGAAGATGACAAGAGTGGTTGAACAAGTGACCATTTCTCTTTGTCCAATGCAATTGCAAGAGGTTCCAAGTATCTGTAAATCACATAAAAGAAAGATATGAAAGGAATAACACATTATCAAAATTTTCTTTAAGCACCTCACAACATTATACAGTGAACTTGCGTTTATTAAATGAAGAAAACTACTGTGAGTGAAAATCATACATATGATACAATCTAGTCACACAAACAAGCATTGGTGATGGAAGACAAAATATCACTTCTCTTCAAAAGAAAGTTAACAAGCAGTGTTACATACTCTGTGCCAGAAAACCATCAGACAGTCCACCAATAAAAATGACTTGATGTCGATGATCACCTGTTTTAAATGCTACCTGCATGGGAAGGATAATTCTCAATCATCAAGAAAATTATATGTATAAGCATACAAGATAGACTCCTATAGGTGAGCACAATGAAAGTGAATGAACTACACTCGACAACAATAACAAACAGCATGAACTTTATATTAAATGAAAATTGATGATTTTTCGAAAAAAAAAAAAAAATTGACTTATAAAAGGCATGCGCTGGAAAAAAGAGAGAAAAAATCCATAGTATGATCCGGTTGAACTAGCCTCTACTACGATAGTAACTTTTTTTGTTTGAATGCTGGGCTTTACTCTAAAATCCAAAATACTTAATTCTATGAGCAATTTACACAGAAATCTAGTTTACAAGTTTAATCTTGCAAAATGTTAACCAAACCACTGCAACCACAAAGGCATGAAACTTGTGTTCTTGATGCAGCTCACTGAACCTCCCAACATTTTTTATGGGGAGCAATGTGTTTTATTGAACAAAAAGGAATAGGTACAGTCTACAGAGTAGTAGACACAACTGAACCTTCCAACAACAGAACCAGGTAATTTCTCCTCTTATTTCCATAGATAAATAGCATCGAAACAAATGACTTTGAAAATCCTATCATTCTTGAAATGCTGTTATCCCTCAATAGCTGCCAGTGCACTACTACACATCTATTTTTCGCATGGTACCAAAACCCATCCTAACCTTCCAAGTTCTCACCCAAGCTCCAGCATTTCACCTCAAATCCCAATCTCAGTAATTGGCATAAACTTTATCCACCAAATTCAAATCTTCCCAACATCCGAATAACATAATTCAGACTAGCTAACGGTTAAAAATCGCATTTTTCGATAGTAAAATGGCACCAATTATCCCCATTCTTTCAAAATACCAATCTCAGTAATTGGAAACTGCTCAAAAAATACTTTAACCACCAAATTCAAATCTTCCCAACTCACCATTAACATAATTCAGACCACCAAACAGTTAAAAATTTGCACTTTTCAACAACGAAATGGCACCAATAGCCCCAATTATTTCAAATTACCATCTTCCAAACAGAGATCGAGCTCTTGCAACTCAATCACTACTCAAATGCAGCACAATCCAGAAACAAAAAGCATAAACTGACATAAGAAACAGACAGACCTGAATAGGTTTGGGGCCGTACTTGAATAGCACGCCTCGGAATTGATTCTTCCTCACAACGGAGTCGGAATTGTCGGCAGAACCGCCCGAAAGGGAGTCTGCTCCCATCTTGACAGACGCGGACCGTTCTGACTGGCCCCAGACGATGCCAGAGAACCACGAACCAGAGAAAGATGACGGAGAAGAAGACTTGAACTAACTGAGGGAGGACTTGTGGTCTCTGAAGGGAAGAATGAGAACACCTTAGCCTAGGGTTATACAAAACAAAATGCCGAAAATTAAAAAAAAAAAACCGCCCATTTTTTCCAATCCCGCCAAAATTTTAACACTTTCCTTTACGTGACGTATTAGCTGGTACGTGGTGCAAATAACCTTTGCGTAACATATTGGTTTTATGTCGCGTAAGGTTTTTTTTTTTTTTTAAATATTATAAAATTTACTGAAAATGTGATTTTATTCCTTCAAATTCAATTTTTTTTACATAAAACCCACAATAATATATTTTTCTAACAAAAATCCGACCCAAACTACAATAATAAATTTAAAGCTACTTAGTAAATATACATATCATTCAATTTCTTAAGTGTTATACGTACAAAATAAATAAATTTAAATCTACTTAATAAATATATATGCCATTGAACTTGATGGGATATGCAGAAAATCACAAAAAAAAAAAACGTTCAAATATCAAGTAACGGGACAGAACATTTCGACGGTTATAAACGAAAAATCACGATTTAACGGTTATTTTAACTCCGATTTTGATGAGTTTTTACATCTATACTCTTTAACCCTATATGAATACAATGAACTAATTCGATCGTCAATTTAAAACATTTACACAAGTGGATACCACAAAAAATAAAAAATATAAAAAAATATAAAAATAAAAAAATAAAAATAAAACCTTTGCAAGTGATTGTATTCATGTAGGGTTAAAGTTTAAGTTTCTCAGTTGCAATTGCTCAAACAATCACTTTTTTAATAAAACTGGGTCTTTTTCGCTAAAGTTTAAGTTGCTCAGTTGCAAGTGATTGTATTCATGTAATGGCAAATGTTATACAGAAGTACAAGATTCATATATTCTACTAGGAAACACAAAAATGGCCTTGGTCATTCAATAATTTAGTCAAAATACACACCACGGAAAGTTTGAGCCCTCGTATGGCTAATGGAAATTTCCGTAACAACAAAACAATTTTCAGTTTTCGACGAATATAGTGGTGCATGGGTTTATGCAAAAAATCAAACATACCATAACTAGAGTACGTAATCAAAACTAGTTTTCGACAACCAAAAACGATGATCCTACAACAAGCGCAACATAACAATGTCAATGACAATCCACTTTCCTCCTTCTTGCCCTTCCAAGAGAAAGAAGACATTCCTTTTTTCCTTTCGAACTAGAACTTGAGAGGAACTTATATGCAAATACAACTAGAACTTCGATGAGCTAGTATCCTAAATCTATCATACGCGTCATAAAAAATTTAAATTTCTTCACCTAATTTGATGTACTTAAGTTGAGATATCACCACTTGGACATTTCATTGAACTTAAATATTATATTTCCTAGCTTGATGTATTAAGTTGAGATATCACCACTTGGACATTTAATTGAACTTATATATAATATTTTCTGGATATCACTCGCAAAATTATCTGAACATCACTCTCTACTCACCAATAAAATAAAATCAAAATAGTGTGGTGGGTAAAAGAGAAAAGACAAATTTTAGAAATATAATTTTTATAACAAATGATTTTTTTATGTTTTGACAACTCATTAGTTTTGTATTTCTTCTATTTGGGGAAAGGGATCATTTCCGGATCTATTCCACCCTCAATTAATTCGGACACTTGAAATTTAATTAAACAGCTGAAAAACAGGATGCCCTTGAAATTTAATCTAGGCCCTTGAGTGGATTTGGTGGAAGGGATCCGGAGAGGATCCCTTTCCATTTCAATGGTCATTAAAGTATCCTTGTCATCTACTTGGTTAAACAATCATTTATTGTGCGGATGTGACATTTTTGTGAAGCACAAAATGAATTATATTGTAAATGACAGGTTTACGCAGTGACGAAAAATAATTATATTTATGCAACCTGATGAAGGTACTATTCCTACCAACCTTTTCCCTGCTAACAACTAACAATTAATCCACTAACGTTATTGTTTGTAAAAAAAATTTGTATTAAGGAAGCGTTTGAAACAAGTCCACTATAGTAGTAAAACAGGCATGAGCAGCACTAGCTTTTGATGTTGTCAATACACTATTTACCTAAATTGTGTGCAACTGGCAAACTAGGCGCACAACCCAGCTAGGTGGGTCATGGGTGAGCAAACCTCCTGTGTTTTAAGGTATGGATTCCCTTCAATTGTAAGGCAAGGCATTCCTCTGTATGATGATGATGATTGATGGAAACAATAAACGAAGGGTAGTGTTATTCACATACTTTTTTTTTTTCTCTCACACACCTTTGTTAAGTTTTGTTCATTAATCTTCAATCCGACGGTCAAAAATTGAAAAATATGTGTGAGAATTAAAAAATAAATGTGTAGATAGCACCATCATCCGAATAGAGAACCTTGGGCCCGTGGGCAAAGCCCAATAATTCTGTTTTTCTATCACAATTGGGATACTAATGATAACACTTAACCTACTTGTCCAACCTCTCCTTTTTCACTTACCATCTCCACGTTCATTCACTTTATTATTTCACAAAGATGTTCTCTCTTGCGCACCGAGTCGCGTTTGTATAAGTTTCGCATGATCCGGTTCATTATAACAATGTCATAATGACATTTTAATAACAATTTACTACGTTATTAAGATACTATAACGATACTCAAATACTGACGAAACAACTGACAACAGCATCATAAATTGTGCATAACCTAATTTCAACATGATTTTATTGTTTTTACAATGTCGTTATAGCGTGATTAGACTCAACCGAATTATGCACATCCGATACACACAAAATTGGTGCGCTATGGGAGAAAATTTTATATTTCATATGGGTTCGAAAGTCCAATTTCAGAGAAATATTTTGGAAGGGTAACGTGTCTAGTCATCTTTACAGACAGCCAAACTAATAAGCACGTGGCCTACCAGTACCAACCCAAAAACTCAAAACATTTCAAAATATAATCAAGTTTCCCACAAATAATCATCCCACTTATGCCAAACCAGATAACACCATCTGTTTCTCGAGGAGAAGGTTTGTTAATTGTCATGGATACTGTCTCTCGATTGTTTTTGTCCAGCATGTATGAAAACCACGTTCCACGTACAATGGGACGGTGGAGTAAAATGGACAAGGGCAATAATCGTTCCACGCGTTTTGTTTTCCTACTGACAGTATTTGGTATTATCTCCGTGATTGCTGAAACTATCATGTCACTTGTTGTATGCGTCTAGTTTTTTAATGTTTATTTTGAGAAAATTATAACGGTGGTTTCTTTTTAATTTTCAGGCGTCAGATCGAATGAATTGAAGAAGATCAACGGACAAAAATTATCAAGGGATGTGTGCGAAGTAAAATGGAATGTGTGGATAGCACATCCCTAATTTTTATCTAATTGGAGCAATGCTCTTTTAATTAAAAATCCGTGAACATTGGTCTCATAATTCTTTAAAACGTGCATCTGTAGTCTTTTTTATAAACTCTGTCAGAACTTTTGTCAAAATGAGTCATGCTGGAGAACCATTGCTACAATTTGGTTAAAGTTAAGTGATCATTGCTCCAAATGAGTTAAAGTTGATGGACCATTGTTACAATTTTCTCATTTGATTTTTCATATTTGCCCCTTAATTTAGCCTCACTTGCATAACAAGTTTTGACGAGTTAAAGATCAATGGTCACAGATTTTTATTGAAGAATCATTATTCCAATTGAGTTAAAATTAAAGAATTATTGTTATAATTTTATTGTCTTTTTGCTCATGAATTTTGTGACGATAAAGATGAAAATATATACAACATGTTGTAGGAAAAATATTCTGACCATGACTAAGACAATCATGAGAGAAATCATAAATCAGAAAAGGAATACACCATGTGAACGATAAGAACAAGAAGAAGAGCCAAAGCCAAGTTGAAATCTTATATATTTTGTATTGCAGGCAAGGAATAATAAATGGTAAGTATCATCATATTTTGGTAGCCGTGCGTGAAAAGTAAAGTCAGTCAACCAAACACGTTTTAAAAAAGTTGAATTCGGATTTCCATTACTTTACAACACAAACAAGGTGAATTGATTCCAATGGAAACCAAAACACATGGTTCCACCAAATTCAATGCTAACATTAATAAATAATAATAATAATTTACAAATAAAAAATGGTCTCAGATAATCCACATTAGAAGGCCACCTGGAAGTTCGAGGAAGTACTCCCAGCTAAGCTTAGGTTGCCCTAAGGAGTCACGGCCATCGCTAAAACGTGCAAAGAGATTTTAACAAGAAGTGCTTTTCAGATAGGACTAGTGCTTTTGCTATTGCCCCCTTCACGAGGAAAACATTATAGAGAATGCTACTATATTGTCGGTCTTAACTTTCGCTTTCTACTAAAATGAGTACTTTGCTTCCTAAGGCAAGTTGGAATCAGTCATCTGCGACACACGTCTCCTCCTCCTCCTACTTTTGCTGGTTGTCAATAATTAGGTTTGGCAGGCATATGGAGATCCCGAATTCATCCTGTAATCGTATAAAAAACCAAACGCGTTATTATTTTTACATTTACTATTTATTTACCACTAGATTAATTATGAACTAAGAATTCATTTGGATATATTTTTGAAATGACTAAAAGTATTTCTGATGAAAATGTTTTTGAAACCAATTCTTAGTAAAAATGCAAGTAATTCTGGAAAAAGCACTTAAGGTGCACTTTAAGTGCTTTTGGAACAAAAAAAACATTTTCTCTAAAAGCGTTTTCAGTAATTTTAAAAACACATCCAAACGAACCCTAAATATGGTACTTGATTAATTATAAACTAAGTATGGTGCCATAATAATTCACAAGTAAAATGATTTCAGTGTCACATGATCTCTATGAGTATGAGATAATGACACAGAATTACATGATTCAAAGTTAATCACTAGGTTTTTTTTTTTTTGTTCAAATTTCTAGTATTCAAATAGTACTTTACGTGTTATTCATTATTGAAGTAATATAAACAAATATATTATTTCTTCTATTTGTATTATGAAATATAGAATATTTCTTAAACATCTGATACTTAAAAACGCTCCTAAAAAGTACTTATACAAATTAAGAACATACAAAACAAGAAATTTGTGTGGAAATTTACCTCTCTTTGCGTTTCTCAAGAAACCTTTGCAATGACTTATTGCGACTAATTGGTAGATCTGCACGATTCATAAAATAAAAATTATGTAAGACTCCAACTAAAAATACTAACTTGTTAGTGTTTGAGCGTTAATACTGTAGGATATTAGTGATACTAGTACACATAACATATGAACTTTCTTTACCACTTTTTAATTGAAAATTTGCCACTTTACTTACGTAACGGTTTTAGCATAATTCTTAAGGATTAACTTTTAAGAGAAGTTTCCTCAATAGTGAAAAAATATAAGCAGATGCTGTAAAAAGTAAATATTATTAGAAAAAGTGGAGACTAACATCCGCTAAGAGGATCCACAAGCTGCTGAGTCTGATGCTGCTCGCTTGGATGAAAAGCAAGTTTTGGATCGACGGCTACCGGTGCCTCTGCAGCTTTGCCGGAGTTTCCTTCTAAGGCAAGCTTCAATATGCTATCCACCTGCACAACAAAACCCAGTCATTTAATTAATCAGAATTAGAAACTAAATATCAACAAATTAAAAAACAATTTTTCCTATTAATTAAGACGGGGGAGAAAAAGAGGAGATTTTATCATAATGGAAAGATGGTAAGCCTTTACATAATGACATGAGTTCAAATTCTGTCGGTGATTAATCTAACATAATCTATTGTTTAACAGGAAAAAAAAAAATAAATAATAAAGCGCAGAAGAAGAAGAAGAAGAAGAGACCTTGTCACGAGGATCCACAAGCTGCTGAGTCTGATGCTGCTCGCTTGGATGAAAAGCAAGTTTTGGATCGACGGCTACCGATGCCTCTGCTGCTTTGCCGGAGTTTCCTTGTAAGGCAAGCTTCAATATGCCATCCACCTGCACAACAAAACCCAGTCATTTAATTAATCAGAATTAGAAACTAAATATCAACAAATTAAAAAACAATTTTTCCTATTAATTAGGAAGGGGAGAAAAAGAAGAGCAAATGACATTTTGCTAGAGTGATGAAAATGTGTTAAACCTTTACACGATGAAAAAAAGAGAGAAGGGGAGAAGAAGAAAAACAAACCTGGTCACGATGGACGTCGAAAACAGAAACGGTACCGTTGTAGAAAATCGTCAGCGGCTTCGTTTCCTGAAGGCTCTCGGAAGCAGCAGCCGTGAAAGAAGAGACGGAAGTGCCGGTGGGAACATAGAGCGGCAACGAGGAAAACGGGACTTGCTCCGCCTTGGGGCTCGACGGCACCGAAAACGATTTCCCCGGATTTGGAACACTGGGGCTGGCATCGCCGGAAGCGATGACGGATTTGAAGGCCTCGGGATTGATCTTGGACATGGCGGTGTGAATGCCTCGGAAGCTTTTGGGGCGGTGGAGAAATTTCTGGAACTGGGATTTGGAGGAGGAGGAGGAGGAGGGGGCATCGCGGTGGTGCTGGTCCATGCCGAAAAAATCAAGCTCAACGGTGGGTCTGGACATGTTTAGAAGGTGTTTGTTGAATTGCTTGAAAGAGTTTGGTTTGGAATTTGAAATTTGGAGGAATGTTGGGGTTGGGGATGTTTGGATTAGATGAGCAACTTATTAAAATACAAAGGCGGGAGAGAGAGGAGCGACTTTTAAGGGGCACGAGATTCATGCTATGTGAGTGATGAGAGAGAGAGAGAGAGAGAGAGAGAGGATGTTTTTGGAATGCTATGTAAGCACACGTCTTCCACGGGGAGGCGCTATCCATAAAGTAAGGTTTTTATCAATAAATGCAAATAATAAAATATAAATGAATTGGACTTACTGCTGTGTTAGTTGTCTGTGTACCGGGGTTCAAGTGGGCATGGTCCATTTGGCAATTTGGCAGTTGTCGTCGTTCATCACTTGTATGCTGAAGCGTTGGGCAACACGTATTGTCAAGAGAAAAACTTACATAAATCTGAGATGGGTATGGAGTTTGAATTAATTATGTATTGTTACATAAGAAAGTTAAATTGAAAGTGTGGAATGCATTTAGAAAATTGCTGTTTTATTGTTTACGAATCATGTTCGGGTTCATGTTTAATTATTTTGTTAAAAGTTTTTTTGCTCGTAAGTCTTGTGATAAAAGTGCTTTCATTATTAACATGTTGAAATTTTTATGCAAACTTAAGTAGCTTCCTGAGAGGTTTTTGGACAATTAGCTAGAACGGATCAGTTTTTTAGATTTGGTTGCAGAAATGATAAATTTTTACCATGTGATTGTCGTCATTATATCAATGCATCAATATACGATTTATATGTCATCTTTACTAAAAACTGATCATTTTTGCAATCAAGTATTAAAAACTGATTTCAGCTAATTGCCTAAATTCTTTTCCGTTGCAAAAGCACTTTTAACAATTCTAAAAACAAATAAAAACGGTCACTTAGTACTACGATCTAATGGTAATCCTTTTCACTTGTAAGTGAGAAGTCTTAGGTTCGATTTTCGCCAAAGGCGAGATTGAACTACATTATTACTAGCTCATTGTGAGACTAAGCCCACCTCTCTTCCTTAGCGTATATAATATCGTTTGTTAAAATTTAAAAAAAAAAAAAAACAAATAAAAACAACCCTTGTTCACTGGCTTGCCCGTGTGTTTTGAATCAAACTGTTCTCAATTAATTAATTGGAAAGTTTCATGGTTTTGAGAATGAATTAGCCGGCAAGGTATTGAGACTTGGTCGTCGGCAAAGTAAAACCTCATGGTCTCTCTGCTTTTCTAGATGCCCTCTGGTTTCAGCAATGTTTTTTTAATGCTTTGGAATGGTCTCTTTCTTTTACTTTTCCTTCTGCTTTCCGGGCATAAGAGGTACCTATTGGTGTTTGAGTATGTGAATTGCCTTTTCTTTTATGATAAAAAAGTAAAGAGTGTTTTGCTCAAATGGGAGACTCCCCACTTGACGCTATACATTTTTTCTCTAGCAACTCTTTCTAATATGGCAATTTGTCTATATTTAATCGATATGTAAAAAATATTGATGAAATCTACCGATTTTAATCAAAATTTAAGATTTTCTCAGATATGAGATGAAGCTAAACTCCATATCTTCTTACCGTATCTTTCTCTAATTTTTTAATATTTTCACAAAAATATTGACCGTATCAAAAAAAATTAAACACTACTCACAACCTAACACTACACAGTCAAACAAGCACTGCTCGATATCATCATTCCCTCAACAACAAGCATCGTCCACATAACTACCAACATGGGCGACAACTACAACAAAAAAATTGGCCTTCATGACATAATATAAATTAACAAAATCAACTTGCATGAATTTTTAATTTCTTTTTATTAATCACGTTTATTATTTGGTTAAGGAATTAGATACTTAGGCACTGACCAGCAAGACAGTGATATCCAAAGGCACATGTACAAATCTAAACTTGGTTCGTCAACAATTTGAGCGAGCACTAATTAATAGAAATTTGACAATTTGGGGTGGCTGTACAAAAAGTAGGTAAAGCAAATCGTCCTAATTTTTTAAATTAATTATTGACCTAAAAAATTATTCTCTTTAAAAAATTTGGATATCGTTGTCGATCTGCAAATAGCATGAAGTTTCAGGACCAAAAGATAAATAAAATAAAATGGGATGCTGAATTTTCAAGGTACGGTTGGCGAAAGGAAGGTGTAGGGGAAATCGGGAATAGGAACAGGTAATGTCAAAAATCACGTTACCATAATCTCCCGGGGAACTGTAACCACGTGTTCAATTTTGTAGGCCACTTTCGGTTAATTTGCTAACGTGACGGCAAAAGTCGTCGGCCATATCGTCCTTCGCGAATTGTGTTTTGGTTGTGATGTGATGCGTCAGTGTAACGGGCAACATCAACATTTTTTCCATGTCATTGTGTTTAAGTCGTTTCGAGGGTCCGGATCCTTTTTTCTTAATTTATTAAATTAGAGAATTTGTGTCGTTGAGATTTAATCTATCGATTGAAGTTATTATAACTTTTAAAGTAGACATCTATTTATAATCATTTAATCAAATTTTAACAGTACGAATTTCTTAATTTTATGAATTAGAAAGAAAGAATTCAGAGATCCCTTTCTGTTTCGAGGTATTTGATTACCTTCTAATTGAAATCGTGTTTTAGTTTTTTTTTTTTTGGTCGAAAGAAATGTTTTATTCTTAAATATTATAAGATGGTACAAATTTTAAATGTAAATTTCAATAATTAAAGTTGTATTTAAAAAACAAATGTTGCCTAACAATAGTATATTTTTAGCCTTATAACTAAAATACAAAACCCTCCAAAATACTTATACTTCAGTAAAAGCTTTGCACATTATTAATGTGGATCTCGTTAAGAACCTTTCTGAAGAAAATTACGTGGGGCAAAATTTCAGGGTTAAAGAAAAAGAGCAGAGAACATGTAACTATAACTTAGGACAAAGCGATTAGTCAACTTGAAGTAAACAGATATCACAATTCAAAATTACAATTCATCGCCAATTCTGCAAATATAGTTTTGATTTGGATTAGAAAACACAATGATCCAAGCTCGAATCAAAACTGACACCACAACTCAAATCCACAAATTAAGTACTTTCCAATTAGGTTCGAGCTACAAATCAAGCAAAAACACAAGTGATTCTCTGGTTAAAAACTTGAGAAGAACGTGTGTCATTTGAGTGTAACCATAAGTGGACTGTAATGTCTTTAGCCTTATGGGCCTTATTGGATATTAGTCTTACTTGCCCATCAGGATGTGGGATATCTCAGACTTGAACGAAAAAAAAAAAATCCTTATTGACTAATCACTTCTCCTTTGTGTGTTCTTTTTTTTCTTTTTTTTTTTCGGAAATATAAAAACAACATTACTTGCATTATTTTACCGGATAGATTTTAACACACGTGGATTCGAACAAGCGACTTGCAATTTCTTACACTGCTCTTAATTATTATTATCAATTAGATAAATTGAACAAAATTAACAAATAAAAAATGTGCATGTTTATTATTTCCCTTATTTTATGAATGTACTTAGTTATGTGCTCGTTTTGTTGTGCAAAATGTATTTTAACTGTGAAAATGTTATACGCAAAATTAGTTTCCTTTTTTTTAAGACTGTTTAAGACCATTGCAACATAAAATCACTCAAATTAAAGTTCATATACACTTCAAATGTATGGCACAAATCAAATTTCGGCACAAAGTATAATTATCATGATGAATCGTTCATTTGTTTAAGAGATATGGATGACTAAAAGGTTTAGCAAACTAATAGTTTAAACTACGCTAATCTATATGGAAAATTGAGTGTAAGAGAGCGAACACACATTGTTATGTTTCAAATGATGTGATTAAAAAATAAATGATTATGATTACGATATTTGTACAGCTAAAACACATGCATCACATTTCGTTGACAATGAAGTGCATAAATGGAGTGAGCACAAGTATTATCAGCTAAAACTGTATACCAACATTAGAGCAGTTCCACCGTGAGAAAGGCCCTCCTAGGCAATACACTATGCTATCCATCCTAGTGAACAATAACTGCCCTTAATAAACAGTAATCGCATTTTGCATCTTCATCGTTGCACTTCAATAGCCATGCCAATAGACAATAAAATATTAGTATTTTTTTTATTTATATAATAATACAAAATAATTTTTAATTTTTCTCCTATCCCCTTTTTCCTATTCCTTTTCCTTTTCATTTTTTTTCCAGAACACTCTCTTTGTCCCTTTCATTTGACCGGTTCCCTCACCTACCCTTTCTCATTTCCCTTACTCTCTCTCTCTCTCTCTCTCTCTCTCTCTCTCTACCGACACCCCTTCTCTCTCATTTTTGAAACCTCTCTCTCTCTCTCTTTAATCTCTCTCATTCTCTTTCTTCAGCTCTGAGGGCTCTCATCCTACCTCTTCTTTGAAACCGAAGCAAATCAAACTAACAAACTTTGAAATCTCAATCCCCTGGATGAGAGGAACTCGAATATATCCTTGCATGCATCATCAAAGCACCATTTGGGTGATCCACCATTGAAGCCGAGAGCTTCAAGCTTCCATTGCTCAAACCCAGATGAGGTTATTGCCCTACTTCAATTGCTTGAGTTATTCTCTGGTTTTTTATGTGTTTCGAGTTGAAACCCTTGGGTTTAGTCTCTGCCATTTGTCTGTGGGTGTATCATCAGCCTTGGCTACGAACTCCGACGAAAGTCGTTGAGTTCGAAGCCTGGGTTTTCATTTTTAAAAATTTTATTAATATTTTTAATTTTTATATTGTGGCTAACGTCGCCCTTACGTCATACTTCCTTCGGGTGCTTGGGCCGGCACGAATCGTCGGGCCTCTCCCTTGGGCCTGCTTGGGCTCACTTGCCAGCACACACTGGGCTTCATCACTCAAGAATTCAAGCCCTATTCCTGAGCCTGTCCCTCAGGCTGGAGCACACGATGGAAGTGCTCTTACACACAATTGATTAAAAGCATTAACTCTTACAACTAAAATCCCGCTTGAATTCGCTCCTGTCCTTCTATTCCTTATATCAAAAGAATAAAAGTGTACCAATAGGTAACATTGAAACAACGTGCCTGCGGCAC